GGATCTGAACGTTTCAGGAATGTAAGTCTCCAAGTTCCTTGCCACCACCAATCACCGTTGTATTTTCGAATTACCAATTGTTTCCATAATTCATCAAATGTCGCAAAACAGTAACACACTTTACTTGTGGCGCTTATTGCTAAAAGGTCTCTGACAGACAATAGGCCGAGAATTTCTAAAATCAGGTCGTCAGTTAGGCGCGCGAGAGTTCCCAGACTTGATTCCCTACAGCTAATTTGGAAATTATTATTTATTATTGAATCGACGTAATAATTACCCCATGGCTTAATTCCCAAGGGGTGTTGAAAAGATGATTTTATTTTTTGCTTTTTTGGCACATCCAATTCGCTATCAGGATCAGTTAAATTTCTCTTATTGGAGCTATTAATCATGACTTTATAACAACAAAAAAAGTTGTCGAATATTTCTTTTTAATTCTGATCAAATTATTCACGTGATAACAATGTTGCATATTGGTCGGATTTTTAGGCACAGCCATTCACGAAAACGTCATAACTGTCCATTATACTCTTTAATATTGTAATAAGTTTCGCAAATTTGAAAATTCCCATAATAGGTTGTTCCCGATTCAAGTACACCTGATTTATTTATCTGCATGTATGTCCGTGTTTTTTCTATTGCAAAATGGTAAGCAAAGAAAACATAATTGAAATTAAACTTGGTTTAACTACGTATATACAGTCCCATCATCTGTGATCAGCAAAGTTGCGTGAGAATGTAAGTTATGACTGTATATGGGTAATTATTTTTGAAGGCAGCAAAAATGCTAGATATGATTTTTTCGATCCCTACTTTTAAACAATACATACACAATGTAAATTTTCGGCTCACAATTATAGCGACCGAAAAATCCCTGTCCGACTTCGAAAAGAATTACCCATATACAAAATAAATTAATACATCTGTGATCAACAATATAACTTAATATATTGTCAAGATTTTACTAAATATGATTTTGTTTACACAATAGTAAGAAAATAGTAAGGGGCCTTCGAAATAAATATTGATTGTAATTTAAACAGATAATACGTAATTTAATATTAAATATTAAATTTCGAGATTTAACTTCAATCGTCATACTGGGAATTAGATAATTAGTAACTTATAGGAGTCAAGAAAACGATTTCTACTTCACTTTGTTCCAATTTTGGGATCCTGCTTTATCAATAACGTTGTCGTTCTTGAACTTTTTCTCAAACACTTCTTTAAAAATCACAGGGATCAATGCTGCCACTGCAATCAGTCCCATCGTTAGAACATTTTGGAATGTGAAGAATGTGAAGTTGTCGGTTTCGGATAGCATGTGAATGGTTTCTCCGGATTTCACATGGATAAATGAGAGTGGGCCTACACCTGAAGTATCATCAAAAGTGATTTAATGGTGGTTCGAATTGTGTTATAGTAATGAGACTTTCTCAAATTTTTTCAAATACCAATTAAAGTGGCCCAAAAAAATACACTAGCGTCAACGCTCAAATGAGGTGAAGCGACATTAATAAACCAATTCGGCAAGAATGGCGTTACTCTTAGGAAAATTATATATAAAAATAAATGTTTCCTATGGTCATTCAGCTTTTTTGAGAAAGAATATTAATTAGCATGAATAAAAAAAAAAAGGCAACGCGAATAAGATCGAGGATCACATTCATGCCTGTTCATTCCAGCTATCCATCTTTTCAGCAAGGTACTTTTTTGAAATGACTCTTCCGAAGTAGAAAGATAAGAAATTACAAATCGTAGCCCCCGTGGAAGAACACTGTCATAAAGATGTTAAAGATGATAAGAATAATGGAATTTTGGTGATAAAAATTCTATCAACTCACCAAGCAGACAAGAAACAAAGCTTTCCAACTTCCCCACAAAGCTCCACCTAACACGCTTAGCATCACGCTACCTGGAATGGCAAATGATTGAAGACTAAATGATAAAAAGAGATACGATTAGTTTAATAGTAAATACTCTTAGATATGCGTGAAAAATATATTTAAGCTTACTAAATAAAAACGGTCACAAAACATATGACAACATGAAAACCTCCACCGCCATGGCCTACCAAAGTTTCATGAAGTAATTTTACATCATGTATACTTCTAGGAAATTTTAGGTGCCTTGTTACAAGAGAAAATAGATGAGTCGAAAAGATACTGATGATGTAAGTATATGCGTTTGGTTTTGTATATCACGGTACCTTGATTTGGGTAGGTAATTATCGAGTATTAATATTACAATTCCCGTGGATATCATAAATATAAAGGCAAGCTTTATTAAAGATGACGTAATCGAATTGTGTGAAGTCATTTTTTTTTGTTCCAGATTGAGAGTCGAAAAAAAATTCTCGAAAATAATATTATCTAGCGTTGGTATTAATAGGGATATCAGATACTAACACACTATTGTGTTAGCGTTATTGGTTATGCATATTATACTTTTCAAGTGCGATTACAAGAATTACAAGCTCAAAAAAGCATATATAGTCAACACCATTAAATAAGTTAAAAAAAGGTAACGATCGTGGCGTAAATTCATTGTATTAAAACCATCCATTACTGAAATAGACAAATTGCAATAAATATTTAACCGACCGTTACCCCACTTGGAATTAAGTTTCCTATTATCCGGAAACAGTTAAAAAAAAACGGTTATCGATTCTTTATTTGACCTGATGGGAATGTGCAAGATGTAATATGGCGTCCGCTAATTTTCTTGTGGGCATCTAACCACTGGTTCATTAAAGAAAATAAAATGAAAAATATTTAATTATATTCGTTTATTTATTATTTAACTGTACTGTATATAATTTAAATTTTTGCTTCTTCACTTATTTATTTATTTTGTTTAAGATTTATTGTGATGTTCTAAAAATGAATTGATGTATTGAAAAAGATTTTTGAGTTAAATCAATTGTATCAGACCTGTTGTCAATTATTTACCCTTTGTAAGATTTATGCATAGATCAATTAATATTACAAAATTAAACTTAGATTCCGCAGGAGATTTAGTTGAGCTAAAGACAAAAAAGTACGCTGTATCTCACCCCCAAAATTAAATAAAGGCAATTCGAGGTTTGAAATGAAAAAAAAAGATGATTATTTATATGATCTTGGATGTGATGAAATTATTTATATAAATGGAGAAATGTTGTCTTGGATGATTGCAAAGAATTCATATTTTTTTTTATGATACATTTGTGATGATGCGAAGAGAGATGTGAATGTTGTGTTTACAATGATAATAATATGGCGCATACGCAATGTCAGTGATTCTATCCTACCCATCGTCATTTTGTGAATTATCACCTATTCCACTCTCTTCCGGTAGGTTTAAATCTATAATTCTCTTTACGGTGCTTAAGGTGACCGTCAAATTTCTAATGTCCTCGTTGTCTAATATGGTTTTTAACTTTGCGACCAATTCATTGTCTACTGATATCAGATCAGATCTTACACCCGCGGGAGTGTGCGTTCGATGTTGATTCAATTTATTATGTATATTTCGCATGTCGCTCAAATTTGCCCATATCCTATTGGTTGCAACCGATAATGCGTGACTCCACTTTTGAATTTCATTTGTTGCTTCTCGGTGGCCTACGGTCTGATAAGGCTCCTCTCCGCTGGACACAATTATTGGAGGTGGCTCAAAGTTTCCAGAATTTCTTGTGCTGTCATCGTGTGACCAAGAATCTAATTCCAAAAAAGTTGGAACGTGGGTATCCATATGATCGAAATCTTCATACTCGCTATCAGAATCACTTTCTTCATCCATTTCATTATCGGGTTCAACATAGAACATTTTCCTTTCTTTTTGACATTTTAACTGATCGAGTGCAACTTTTCGTAAAGGCAACTGAATAAATGGAATTGCCTGATGCTCTCGCTCAACAAATGATCGGTAATCGGGTTCGAGATCTGGTGGTTGATCTCGCAACCAATTTACTGCATGGATTGCTGCCAGAATGTGAGCACAAGCACCACCTCCAACTAAATAATGAAAACAATGACAATTGATGGTTGGTAATAGACCGACCACGTAAGAATCCATGTTCTCGTTGTCACGAACTATTTCCGGGTTTCTCCCATCTGATTTCACGGTGACATAGAGAGATTGACCGTTGTACTCAATGAATGTGATTTTCTTGGTACTTATAAAATATCTTGCAATTTCCTGTATCCTCGGATCATTTTCTTCAAATGCAATTGTGTTTATATATCGTGCCAGCAATGCTCGCCACTGTCCTTCCTCTGGTTCTTTACCGTCGGCTACTGCATTTAGTGCAGACTGTTCATTCGCCATAAACTTCTCGATCTCATTCCATAGACGACGTTGTATATTGCACACAGGAGTAATGAACTTTATGAGCAAGAAACTTAATACATCCAATCGTAAGAGAGGTCCCTTCTTCTGAAATCTTAACATACGGGATGGATTGAATTGAGTCTTAAATCCTTCTAAATATTCCGCTGACCAGGGTATTGAATTCACGTCAACTCCCATTGATTCCGCAGCCTTACTTCTACCGTAATAAGTCCACATTTCCATGTTCTCACTGATTCGACAATTCCGAAGGAATCGAATCATCTCACGCTGTCCATCAAACAACGCTAGAATCTTCGAATCGAATTTTTGACTGTATGCTTGTGAAAAATGTTCCTATGGAATTATTATCATCAATCTTTGAATGAACGTTGTAGCAAAAGTAAACGACCGAATAACAAATCAACTATTTATGCATAATTACAGATGCCAAAGTTTCCATGACACCAAGTTTTTCATTAATCTCATTTGCTGTAGATGCCTTTTTCAACCTATCTCAATAAGTTCATGAGTTAATTGTGGCGTTGTGTAATCAACCATTTATGTTACGACATACGCACTCTTCAAATAAAATATTCAACTCTTTGTTTAGGTCTTGGCGGATTTTCACAACCTTTTCATCGCCACCGGTTCCCAACAACTGAGAGGCCTTCATTCTCCAACATGAATCCACTTGAGAAGGTGAAAAGAGTATTTGGATCCTATTCCAAACTTCGCTCACGGCAATTCGTTCACGGGCATCTAAATCTACGATTGCGACCTAATTATGACGAAAGACATTTGTGTGTGCCTGTTGATATGTATGATTGCAAATACGTGAGATAAAACACTCCGATGTATAATAAATACATTTACCTTGGGAGTGAATATCACCTGGGGATTTTCGGAATCATTACTTATCTTTGTCTTATACTCTTCCAAGAGTTTCTTCAGTATTGAGTACTCGTGATTACTGGTTCCAATTATTTCGGGATCACCCGGTCTCGAAAACAAAAGATAGCCAACGGGAATTCCCTTTTTAAATTCATCAACCACCATTATAATGTAAAGCTGAATCTTTTTGTTTTCGGTTGGAAATGTTCCGTTTAATATAATATATTTCTGATGCCCGTATTGTTTCGCCAGTGATCTCTGTTCCTTAGTTGCCAACACTAAACAAGTATGATTATAACGATGTTCTCGCGGTTTGAAGTAAAGTACGGCATCACGCAATTCCGGATCCATGCCGCCCACGCCAAAAAACTGTTCTAGATTGTGATCGATGGATCTATTAACGTTCACGTTCCACGGATTCCGAGTTTTTACCCACCGTCTTGCGTCTTTAACATCAAAAGAGGTAATCAAAAAATGTGCGCCTTCCAAGTTAATCCTTCCTTTAAGATGATTCTTGATTAACTGTTGATTGATAAACAAGATATCCTTTGTGGATGTATTCGCTCTGACCAATAGTTCGGTAATCTGTCTAACGTCATCGTGAACTTTCAATTCCGGATTACTCTTTAACGGATATGACCGGTGACAAGCCTCTGAATGTTTCAAATATCCATATACCCGTTTGAACTTCCCACTTGAATATTTTTCTACCCTAACAAAAGCCAAGCATCCGTTAAATTCATAAGCCTGTCGAAGTTTCCTCCGTTTTGCAGCTTCTGTCTTCCTGGCGGTTTCCATATCTGACCCACAGCTACATTGATATAGTGTTGCACCACCATTTTTCGTATCACTCCAACGAGTTTTCCATCTTGACTCTGGTTTGCTGACATAGTCTGTCATGAGACCTTGATAGATCATAAAATTTTTGGCAACTTCCTGCTCTTCATCGGTTTCTCCCCACGTTTTAGATTCAAAATGAATATTCACGTATTTGAATAAGTTGTTTAATTGCACCTTCTGTTTGTCGTTAAGGATTAATTTCGAGATTTTAGGTGTCGCTTTTACACGAAACCTTTGTTGGAACATTGCAAACGAGCGTATAATTTGGTAATGTGTAATTTCCGATTTTTGGTATCATGGAAATGCCTCGATAATTCCCTTATCAGTGTAAAGGCACGTGGGGTGCATTAAGCATGTGATCTGATGTTA